GGAGTACAGCTGGACCTGCTGCTTTCGCGTGCCACTTCCTCGAACCTCATGTTCTCCTGATGCATATTCTCTAGTTTCAGTTGGAAAGACCATCAAGAGATATTCGCTGTAGGACGTTTTTCGAAAATTTGAAATTTCCGGATTACAGCTGGACCTGCTGCTTTCGCGTGCTACTTCCTCGAACCTCGTGTTCTCCTGATACAAATTCTCAAGTTTCAGATAGAAAGTCCATCCCGTTCAAAGGATATTAGCTATAAGACATTTTTCGAAAATTTGAAATATCAGGAGTACAGCTGAACCTGCGGCTTTCGCGTGCCACTTCCTCGAACCTCGTGTTCTCCTGATACAAATTCTCAAGTTTCAGATAGAAAGTCCATCCCGTTCAAAGGATATTCGCTATAAGACAATTTTCGAAAATATGAAATATCAGGAGTACAGCTGGACCTGCGCCTTTCGCGTGCCACCTCCTCGATCCTCATGTTCTCCTGATACAAATTCTCTAGTTTCAGCTAGAAACACCATCGCGTTCAAAAGATATTCGCTATGAAACATTTTTTGAAAATTGGGAATATCAGGATTACAGCTGGACCTGCGGCTCTCGCATGCCACTTCCTTACACGTTGAGTTCTCCTGATATGAAGTCCGTGTTTGGAATGAGAATTTCCTTCTCTTTCCCAAGTTATTCCAGCCTAAAAATTTTTCATGGAACTGCTGTATCAGGATAACCTCTCATTAGCGGGCTATGTCGTGCCACTTCTTGAAGTTTGGCAGTTATTTTGATATAGCGTTTTTGTAGAAAATATTGAAGCTAGAATATCTCAGAAACGAGAAGGATATTTTTGCTGGAAATTCGGATTTTGTATCAAACGGTCGTGACACCCGAATATCTCGGAAACAAGAAGGAATTTCTAGCCTATAATTCGGATTTTGTACCAGGAAAACGTGAGACTCGAAGAGGTGGCACAACATAGCTGGCCGAGTTATTGCAGCTTAAATATTTTTGAGAAAGCCGCTTTATCAGGAGGATCGCTCAACAGCGAGCTATGTCGTGCCACTTCCTCGAATCTCATGTTCTCCTGATAGAAAGTCCGAATTTACAGCCAATTGTTCCTTCTCGCTCCCGAGATAGTTAGGTTAAATATATTTCAAAAAACCGCTCTATCAGGAGATTCGTTCTATATCGTGTCACTTCCTCGATTCTTATGTTCTCCTGATACAAATTTCGAATTGTCAGCCAGGAATTCGTTCTCTTCCACGTGGTATTCTTTATCTATGCTAATACCAATTTTTTCTAAAAGACTAATTCGTGCATTGTACTATTAAATGAGAGTAGTAGAATATCTTTGGATTTAATTAAGCGAGTATCTTTTAATTAACTGATTTTTGTGCAACTGAAAATTTAGTCCTTTTGTTTTTGAAGACTTCGCCGCCACATAGCAGTGAAATGTAAAAATTAATCGTTATTGTAAACCTTGTCTTTTACTTTTGTTTTCTTGGTTGTTGCTGTAGTCTCGGACGTATTATATGTATAGACCAAGCATCTTACAGTGTTTCGTAACCTGTGATACCAACATAGTAAAAAAGCAGTGGTTTTCTAGCGCAGTCTACATTTAAATCAGAGTGAATTGGGGAATTACTGTAAGTAAAACGAGTAGTTGGCCAAGTAGTGAATGCGCCAGAAATATGATTTTTGAAAACTATTACAGTGTTGTCAAGCTTTCAATAACGAAATGTGATGCTAGTAACTAACCAATATCATTTTATTATATACATGTCAGAAAGAACTCTGTCATCATGTTTTACAGATTTATTACGTCTTTTTTTAAATGTATAGTAAATTATAATTTTCATATTATTAATACATGGTTTTAGATATAAATGATTTATATTTTATTAAGTATTCTTAAAAACTTTTTAACTAACCAAGTTTTCAACTATTTTATGTTATTATTCATGTTAAAGTATTATAATTTTTATATTTCTTCATTTACTTATATTATGTATTCAAATTTATTTTAAATTTATTCAAATTTATCTAAATTTATTTAAATTTGTTTAAATTTATTTTAAATTATTTTAAATTAACAATTTTATTGTAATTATGCTGTGCACATTCGTTATGACAAATAACAAATTCCATAATTCATTAGTTAAAGATTGCTGATTAATTAAAATATTATTCGAAATTCCTCTGTATACTATTTTATCTATTAATATTGTGACAATGACAAAACCTTATTTATTTAATATAAATCTTTGATATTTCATAAAAATTTAACAAATAAATACAAACCTATAAACGGGATATATCCTTATATGTCGCGCAAAATCGGCTAGAGAAATGTTTTTACAAATTCAGTGAGGAACACATTATGTGATGCATTATATTTTTACAGGTCGAATGATGAGTGAAATTTTAAGATCAAATTAAATGAAACTTTATATCTTTCTTCGTGGCATTTATTGAACTCGGCTCACGTATGATATCATTTGTTGTTGAAAAATATACAAAATTGCGTTATAAGTTACTACTCAAATGACGTTATAAATTAGTTAACTATGTCTGAACCTGAATTAAGGCTACTATTTGTTACAGAATGATACATAATAGTCCGAGAAACATTAAACATCGTTCAAATAAGTCTAAATATTTTATTTATTACACAGAAAGCAAATTGATAGAGAATTTGATTTGAAGTTCACATTAGCGGGATTAACAAGAATTTCAATTCTCTATTAGTTATTTAATTTACGGTTAAGACAAGTAACAATTGTTTCTCGCAGAATATTTTCCAAACTATGCCGAGAGTATTCCCGACGGAGAAACGTGCATCGCTTTATCGAAAGCAGCTAAGGAGAACAACGTTTATGTGGTCGGTGGTACGATACCTGAAAGAGATGGTGATAAATTATACAATACCTGCACTGTTTGGGGTCCCGATGGAGCTTTGATAGCGAAACACCGGAAGGTAAGCAATATGTCACATTGTGGCTGTTTGAAAATTGAAAACATTGGGGCAGAAAATGATTTCTCTAGGAACGTGTATTACCGACTGATAAGTTCCAATCTCTGAATCGTATATGTATTTATCACAGATGAACAAACTTAATCTCAATTCCGTTTTAAAACGTTTCTTCTCTAACATTGTGAAATCACAGTAGAACATTGTAGCAAAATAAAATGATAGAAATGTTGCCGATTGTTAGATTGAAAAGGCAAACATATGAGAAGTAAGAAAATTAAATTTTTGTTGAAGTTGGTCCACGATCATTTTTTGTATTGAACTACGAAAGCTGTGACAATGTAATTGGCGTTCACGTTCGTTTATGTTGTTAGATACACTTATTCGACATCGACATGCCTGATAAATTTACTTTCCGCGAGAGTGATTCGCTCAGTTCTGGTAACTGTCTGACGATGTTCGATGTGAAGGGCTGCAAAATAGGTATTGGCATTTGCTATGACATTAGGTTCGAGGAAATGGCTCGCATTTATCGGAACAAAGGTACAGTAAACAATTAATTGAAACAATGTGACCGACAGAAAATTAAAAATCCTTCTATTTATTCAATTGCTTTCTATTATTCAATGATATGTAATAATAATTATGATGTATTTATAATAATTTGCAATACAATCTAAATACGAAACCTCTCACATCCGAGCTTCCATTATGCAAATATTAATTCCATAATAAATCAACATTTCATTTCTGAACAACAAGGATATTTTGTTCCTCAAACCGAAAATGATGAGGATGTGTCTTCTTATGTTAAAACACATGGATGGTTTGAAGTTGGTTTGGCTGATGGTTATTAAAATTAAGTATTTCAATAGCCAAGAAAAATATAATATTTTTAAATATCGAAATAAATAAGATATGCTAATGTTAAATATAAAAATATCACAATTATAATATTTAAAAAAATTTGTTCTCCTCTGAATTCGGATATGAAAGGTTTTGTTGTACAACATAATCTCTAATTCCATTATACATATGTACATACGTATATAAAAAGAATTTTACGCTACGTGCGTATCTGAAAATGGAATAATTAATTAATTAAAGAATTAAAAGCATGTATACATAAATTATGGGATGTAGACCAGATGACGGAGTTCAGTTGATATTCGTACGATTTCCCGTTTCTCCCGGATTAGGTTGCCAAATGCTGATATATCCGGCGGCGTACAATATGACCACCGGGCCATTGCACTGGTCGTTACTTCAACGTTCCAGAGCGAATGACAATCAATTATACGTGGCTGGTGTTTCACCAGCTCGTGTTCCTTCAGCCAGTTACGTCGCATGGGGTCACACACAGCTGACAAGTCCGTGGGGAGAAGTTCTTCATGATCTGGAAACTCAGGAGACTATGCTAGTCGCCGATATCGGTAATTGCCAATTTAAAACTGGAAATGACAGATTGACGTGATCCAATCTATTTTTTTAATTCTCGCTGATTTATCTGTCTTCTTCCTTGTTTTATTCTTCTCATTTTTTTTTTTTTTTTTTTTTTTTTGTTGAATGGACTTTATTCATTTATTGATTGTCACTGTTTAGATTGTCTATATATATATATATATATATATTTTAAATAGTATAATACAGAACTATAAATTCGAAAACTCGTCAATGTGCCGGATTTTAATTTTTTAAATTGCTGAGAAGTATTTTTGCTCAAATTGGCATTGAGATATTTTATTCAACATTGGATATCTTTATTAAAGTTAATATTGATTTCTATTCAGACAGTGGCTTGATTCTATAAATTTATTTACTTTGATTATTATCATTTGAATTGTAATGATTCGTACGTAAAGTATGTATATATATAAATCTTTGATTTGAAACTAAAATTTTGATTAATGTCACTAAATTAATTAAATTATTGCTATTGTTCCATCTTCTTTCAGATCTAAAGCTTGTCGAGGAAGTAAGAGCTCAAATACCTACATTTTCTCAGAGACGTACCGATTTATACGACACCATCTGGAAGAAAGATTAACTCAAACAGCAGAAAATGTCCTGTAATACTTAATTACACAGATTTCTATTTTTTTTTTTTTTTTATAAATCATTTGTAATAAATGAATACAACACAAAAGAAAAACAAAATCGAAACAATAACCCTTTTGTATACCCTATAATATATCATTCCATGTTGTGACGATTTATAAACAATATAAATAATATAAGAGTAACTTTTGTTCAGGCATGTAATAACGCAAGAAATAAATATATAACAATAAATAAATTACAGGCGTATGTAAATACATATGTATGTAATAAAAAGAACACGAAAATTGTTACTTTTAAATATCTTTAATATACGATCAAATAAACTGTTATAATCGGTAATGAATTGAGAGTGATCACTCGTACATAAAAGGCCCCTCGATGATCGAATGACGTGACTTCACGATCAAAAGGTAATTTTTTTTTTTTTTATAGCAATATTAAATCTAAAAGTCGATCTAGGTATTTACATTCAGATTAGATGAATAAACTCTCTTTATATGGAAACACGTTTGAAGTTCGAAGTTACAAGCTTAAGAGAAATTGGTCGATTTAATAGAACGCCTCGCCTCAATGGTACGTTATTAAACATGGCGATGCCGCTAATTCAGAAAGGGGCGGAAGGGAGGGTTGGGAAATTCGGGGGAAATAGCCGATGGTTGTCGGCTATTCGCCAGCTGGAAACGGTTCACGGTTTGTCTTCTCGAGAAAGAAGATAAATAAAAGCAACACGCGAACGATCGTCTCTCCTCTTGCTTCTGCTTTTGTTCCTTTTCTCTTCGAGGAGCGAATCGGGTCACAGGTGAACAAACGGGTGCGCAGATAGACGCCAAACTGTGAGAAATTGCGTTCTCTTGGTCAACACGTTTCGCGTTTCTAGCGCGCGACTGTCAAAAATTCCTTTTCGGAGGGGAATGAAAAAGAGCGAACAGAAGACAGAGAGCAATCGATTCGAGCGTAGCACGAACAATACAGCGTGTCCTGAAAGTCAACCAGCTTCGGATGTTTAATCTATTGTCTTCTCACAACGCGAGTGTCCCTTCTTTCTTCGGCTTTAGGACTTCGTGCCTTTCCTTTTAATAGTATTCGAGACCGAAAGACATTCGTGTCTAGTCCATAGGCAAAAATGTATAGTGTTTCTTAACCTTTTGGTTACCGCGAACGATCCCTCAAACGATCTCTCGAATTCGAGAGACATGCTTTCAAACAATATATTATCTACTAATTGAATAACGTGTTATTTTATTTAGCTGGATGTTATTTGTTATAACTGTCAGTTGAAATAATTCATTAATTGTTATTTTTCCTTTTGTTCTATTCCAAGTGAAATATGCTAGAGTGAGAACGTCGCGGTATGCCATGGAGGTTAAGAAATACTGCATTATACTATATAATATTGTATGCGATATAATAATGTACATATTATACATCGTATTTTACATATAATTTATGTGGTAACGTATATACAATACATATATGAATCATTAGGAAGCCATATTGATCAACTCTATAAATCGAAAAATACAGAAGAATAACGATATCATGAACAGTCTTTTTTTTTAAATTTAATTTAGAATTTATTATTACTTATTTCCTTCCGGCGAGGCTTATGAAAATAAGTGATTTATCCCATGAAAATTGATTGTTAATTCTGTAATTGATGAAATTAAGGAAGTTGATCAGTTTGACTTTCGAGGGGCTCGTGTGTCATATTAATTTCTGTATTTCATATTTTTATGCGATACAAACATTACTACACATACCACGATGTGTAATGTATACAGTAATTTTGAAAATTTATATATGTACATATATATATATATATATACCTTTTTTATAATGGATAACTACGTACAATACAATATACAGTATAACATACATACTTTCCGCTGTAAAAATATGAAATATAAAAATTAAGGTTGCCCCCCCCCCCCCGATTTTCGAAATTCGAAACAAGTTGAAAGTAGGCGTTGTCAGGGCGTTCAGAACTTGGGCGATTGTCTTACTATTGGATCCCGGTCTCGAATTGGTTAAAGTAGAATACACACTCGGATAGTTTCAACATCTTCACCGTCGAAGAGACATTCACAAGCTCAACAAACGAGAACGCGAAGCAAATGTATGCTTCTCCCTTTTACAGACCCTCGCGCTCATGTCACATTCTCGCTCTTATCGACGCTCTTTCACTTGAAATCTGCAATGCGCCTCTTTACAATTTAAATTTACCCGGACCACCCGTTGAATCGACAGCCCTTTATAAATACGTAATGAACCCGGTACGTGTGCCCGTGCTCCTGGTGACGCTCGCACCGGAAGCTCCGTTCGATGCCAATTTGTCACGCGGGAGCATCGATTCTTCCGAGGTGTCGCGTTTTAAAGAGCAGCCTCCACCCATCTGCGCAATTAAAACAATGCCAGTAAAATGGAGTCTCGCGCTAATTGCAACTTCGATGTATATTATCTGTAAAATAAGAAGCTTTCTGTTTCTTTGGATAAAGAGATTTGAAATTAAAATTGAGAACGTTAATTTATACAGTGAAATTTCAATTTGGCAACAATATGATGAAAATGATGATCTGATATTTTATATTGATTTCGTATGCCTCTGCAGTCAATGTGATTTTAAATAAATTACAACGTTATAAATATAATTTATCGAATCTATATCTACATGAAATTATAATTGTATGTACAGTAACAATAATATATAATAATGATTAAAACATGTATAATGTAATAAGGTGACATATATTTATTAATACATATATTAAAATATATTTATATATTCTCTAGTAAAGTTGTAATTTCATATATTATAATATATCACAATGTGTGTATGTATACATATTTCCATAAATATTAATAATAGAATTACAATTTATAAAAATAACTTTCACACAATGTAAATAATTCTTTAATCGTACGTTTCATTTTTTGCTTTGATTCTGAACGGATGCTCCGGGCAAAGTATAAACGACAAGCGAGAAAATAGAAATTCAGACTAATCGTCGTGACGTGTGACATTAAGCTCGTACTCGACTTGAACGTTACGTCGTTAAATAATTATTTAATACCCTGTACGACGAGCGGAGAACCTTAAATTAACGGCAATTCCTTCGGACAGAATTCAATGTTGCCTGTAACGAATACAATTATCGACGAACCCTTTGTTTCTTAACAAACGTAGCAAACAAATATAAATGTGAAACGTTAATGGCTGTAAAATACAATTTCGAACGGTCTCGATCGACCGAAGTGAAATTTCACGCTAGACAAGATGCTAGAAGAAGCGAAAATATATCGAGTTCTCAACGTTTCTCAGTGTCAAGCACTCTCGTCGTTCGAGAAGATTACAAATCCCTCCCCCTTCGATAACGATAGTAATCTCGAGAAGTTTCGCGCGATATTACTTATCGTATTAATACCTCATTGGCAAAGTTGTATCGTTAAAACTTTATTGCTCCTAGAGGAAACTCGAATATATGGTTAAAACTTCCATAGAAGGGGATCAACGAGCGAGAAAGTTGCTGATAAAAATGTGTTCTCGCAATGTTTGATTGATAGCATTTATCGATCAGTGTTAGCGCGTCCTGTGAGTTTTTGTTGTTGGGTGGATTCATTTGGAGTATTAAGTGTTTCGCGATTATAAATTTTTGAATATCCGAATATTTTCGTACAGCATCGAACAAGCTTCGCAGCCAAGATTTCTGAAACTTTTATAAAACGTCACTTGAATAAACATCCAGAAGGTGCAACAGAACATAGTTGATATATAATTCTTCATAATTCGTAAAGTTCATTTTTACGTATGTACATTTCATTTGTCAAATAATTTCGTGTGGCTTATTTTTTTTTTACACGTCCAAGACGGTTTTATTCAAACATGCCTCTTGTTACGTGTACATTCCACAGTGATTTACTACGTTTCTTGTTATTAGTTCAACCGAACTATCCGTGTAAATGGTTTCTTACTAATTGGATAGGACGTGTACGATCTTCATGAAGCTCCAATCCCTTTGATTATTTGCAACCAGGATATTTAAAATCCATAGTTTACGTAATAATCCGCTAACCTTGGCGTTATTGAGAAACAAGTAGATTAGATAACATCAATAGAGTGATATAACTCTTATCCATTCCTCGTGTGTCAATTTGACATATTTCATACAAAATATCGTGTCATTTGTCACCACACATGTAGCTAAATAACATTTATCTAGAACAGGATTGGGCAACACTTATTATTTGAAATAGAAGGAACAAATGATATTCAATTTAAATTTATTTCAAAGTGAGAGTTGGGCAATGCAAATAAATTCCAATACCTATTCGAAAGATAAATTAAAATGATAATTATATTTATGCACATCGCATAGATATAATATATGTTAGAACAGATTTATGTAAAAAGAAAATTATTTTCTTGGTAAAATCAACTAACAAATAACAACTTCGTTTCAAATAAAATTACGAATAATAAAATAGTTTATTATATAATATATAATTTATTTTTCACATTTTTTCATACGCTAATATCGTCTGAGACAAGACGACGAAGCAAGTAAAAAATGAAACAGTTATTTCATTTGGACAATTATTTGAATAAAAGTTTACTTCGATAATGCCCAGCCTTGGTCTAAAGATCTGCAACATCTATTTCTCTAAACATACAACACATATCCTTGATATTTTTGATAGTAAAATATCTTCTGACGTTAAAATATCTTTTTCATTTCGAACGTCAGTTGTTTGGAGTTGAAAGGTTCTCGAATTAATTCATCGAGGCTCTTAAAATCTTTTTGACGAAAATGTTTGAAGTTTGTTTCAACGAAAGGCACAGATTACCTTTTGAAGTGCAAAGAGTATGCAGTCGATGAGAATGAATGTAAGCTGAAACACAGCAGAACTTCCATCATTTGGACACTCGATTGTTCAAACATTTCCACGACCGATATACAATATTTCACTTCGAATCAAAACAGGGAAACAATTGGGTGTAAGTTTAATAGGACGACATGATAGAACGGCTTTTGTTCGACAATGATTACAATTTAATCGACAACGTCACATCGTCGTATCGTTGGCGATATTATTGCCAATATTGTTATAGTTTCTGTGAAACAAAGCTCGAATGGGGGCAAGAGGATTATCTATCAACCTACGACATTGATTTATGAGGAAATCAATTTTCGACGACGAAATTAAACATGATTCGTTAGTGACATTTGCACGTAAGCTACTCATGATTTATAAAACGATTGAAATATCACAGCTCACGGAAATTGAAAAATTTCCTCTCTGTCGTAGAAGAAACGTTAATTTTCGTTTAAAGCAAATGATTAAATGAAGTTGTTGCACGTACATTATAGATATAATAGAATAAAAATAACGAGTAACGTTGAAAAAAAAAAAACTTTTTACTACGTCACAGATTTCAGGTGAATCCACTATCACTTGAGAGATGTAATCTTGCATAGTCTTTAGTTTAGCAGATATTTGATAGCAATTCTCTGGCCTTTGTGCCAATATAGCGTAGCTCAGTTTAATCGAGTTTAATCTCTTTGGCCAGTCAGTTCCCAATTTCGTTTATGGCGTCATCTCCTTTCAGTGGAAATACGATTTCCCTATTAACATTCTTCAATAGTTGAACAGCATAACCGTACTTTGGTATTTCAATTTTCCTTTTAACAGTACGACTTTTTTATCATCTTCAGACAGCAAGCGCCGAGCTTTTACGAAAGATAAAAACTTTTTCAAATTGAAATTCAAGTTCAAGTTGATCTATTAAAACGATGACGGACTGTTCAAACAAAGAAAGACCATCTGCAAGATGAGAAATCTAAGCGTGACGCGTCAGACATAGCCTGTCTAAATAAAACTAATTATCACAGTAGGTTCCAAAAGAAATTTTTATTTCCCTTCAAACGAAGAAGCCGCTTCAAAATTCTAAACTGAAAGAGAAACGCTGCG